CTTGCAACAGGCCGGGCCATCGCAAGAGCGAATGCCCAGAGGAGCTAAGGCGTCGCGGAGCAGAGCAGGGGAGGGAGTCTCCAAAGCAGGGAAACGCCAGCAGTCAGTAGGAATCGGGCCAACTACTGACGAGACTGCCTGCTCGCCCAACCCCACCAACCCTCACCGAGTCACAGTACCGATTCATGCTATCGATCGGACTCGGACGAATAAGGAGGGTACAGCGACGGATTGCCCAGTACTGATCCACGGGAAAATACAGGGAGCAGCAGTGAAGATTTTTATCGACGGAGGAGCAAGCCACAGTTTAGTTAATACCGCAACCGCACGAAAACTGCAGCTGACACTTAGCCGTTGCTTACCGGGGATAGACGCACGCTTAGTCCACGGCACGCCACTGGCCATACGGGAAAAGGTAGAGAGAGTCGAAGTCCGCTGCGGGGGAAATTTCGGGTTTACACAGGAAATGCTCGCAACGACACTGGATGGGCACGATATTTTCCTCCCATTACGTAAAAACCGGGACTGACCGCATTTGGGTGCCTGGGTATACACTACTACGGGAATTACTGTTACAGGAGGCACATGACGGAGTTACCTCGGGGCATTTCGGAGTAGAAAAAACACGGCAGCAGCTGCAGCGGTATTATTACTGGCCCGAAATGTTGACCGACGTACAACGAGACGTGGCATCGTGTCCCACTTGTCAGCTCATGAAATTATCACGACAGCGGCCGGCAGGACAGTTGCAGCCGATACCACCCCCAGAGCGTGCTTGGCAGCAGGTGACGATGGACTTCGTCACGGGGTTACCAGTCGGGGCGAGTGGGCACGATGCGATCCTGGTCGTCGTCGATCGACTGACGAAAATGGCACATTTCGCAGCATGCAAAAAATCAATCATAGCTGAAGAAACAACACGCCTCTTCATCTCCACCGTCGTTCGACTGCACGGGATACCAGCCGCGATCATCAGCGACCGCGACACGAAATTCACCAGCAACTTCTGGCGGAACCTGTGGCACCAGTTCGGCACGCGACTGCAGTTCAGTTCTTCATACCACCCCGAAACCGACGGACAGACAGAACGGACAAATCAGACCATGGAACAGCTCATCAGGGCCACGTGTGACGACCCGACCACGTGGGAACAGCAACTGCCACTAATCGAATTCGCGTACAACAACTCGCCATCCGCCACGACCCAACAGTCACCATTTTACCTAAACTACGGACAAGACCCGATAGTACCCATGACCCCGAATCCCGACAACCCAGTACCACGAGCACAACAGTTCGCTGAAATATTACAAGCAGCACGGACCTGGGCAGTAGACGCAATAAAAAAATCGAACATCATCGCTAAACGCAACGCCGACCGCCACCGCAGAACTGTCACTTACCAGCCCGACGACTTAGTTTTACTTGACACTCAGAACCTCCGACTGCCCATCACCCCGAAACTCCGCCCCCGATACTACGGGCCATTTCGCATAAGCCACATGCTTACACCCGTCACCGCCCACCTCCTCCTCCCTGCTGACTGGTACGTCAGCCTCTCATTCCACGTCAGCCTACTTCGCCCTTACGTCCCGTCCACGAGCCAACTGCCACGCAATCGCCCTACCAGCATGACAAGACCACCAACTGAACCAATCATGACCCCCGAGAAAATCCTGAGTCACAGAGTTCGCGACTTTCGAGGAGCCCGAAGGATCGAGTTCTTACTCCGCTGGAAGGACCGTACACCCACCGAAGACAATTGGGTTCCCCTGGACAGAATTGAAAACCACCCCGTCCTCACAGAGTACCTGCGCAGCCGAAATTTCAGGGATGTACACGCACTTTCGTAAGAGGACCTCCTTAGGGGGGAGGGGGTAGTGTAAGGAAAATTCCTTTTCCTTACTTCGCATCCCTGCTCAACGCGTAAATCACTGTAGCACCACAGTCAGCACCGTTACCACTCGCAACCCTCGCATCGACAATCCGCCCGCCACCTTCGCACATCGCACCCCGACCTCACGGCTCGGCGGGTAACCCGCGCTCCGGGCCTCCGCTTCGACACTTTTTCCCAACCTCAGTCCCAGGCCCGTCGCGCGACAACCACAGTCCATTACCGTTACCAGTGTAGTTTCGCTATATATTCTTCGCTCATGCCTTTGCTCATTGGACTCTTGCTTCGATAGTGCAATTCTCGTTCGTTCACTCAATTGCACTCGTAACATACAGCATGAGAACATTGCTCTCACGGTACATACCTCAGCTGATATCCACCTAACGTTAATCTGATGCATTAAGTGTGATATATTAATTTATGCCTAATAAAGACTTTGAAGAACTTCACGTGGATAAAATTACACATTAACATTAGTTTATAGGTGCGGAATTCTGTTGAAGTTAAATTTCATTTATAGAGGCTGACGATTAGTGCGAAATAATGTTCACTTAAACTGGAGCTTCTACCGAATATAGATCTCGTGGCTGTAGTGCACCCTCCAAGTCAGTCGCGTCTTCCAGAAGCACTTCAGCACAAGGGTTTTTGTTGGCGGCCGAATCGACGGCTACTACGATGTCAGATTTACATCATCGACGGTCCGATCAAAGAAAACATAGGTGTCTGCCAGACTTTGCTTCCCTCCCAAGATTCTTCCGTGCTTCGACTTTCAAGGGACCTCCAAAAAGGAGTCTTCCGAGACGAGACGTTTCCTCGCTTTTCATCATCTGATCCCGAGGTCCCTCTCGCGTGCTTGTCTTTTCGTTCTTACAGCAGGTGTGAGCTGTGATTCCGCCTAGGGAATGCCTGAAACATACTCGCTTGCTTTCAAGCTTCAGTATCTGTATATTCTGTAGCTGATTCTTCCTCCCGACCAGGCGTCAGCTCGACTATTTTGTTGCCCGTGACCTTTTTCCCTTGCCTTGTTTCGGCTAGCGTTCTCACCTGCTTGTTGAGTTCGCGGCTGCGCTTGCTACTCGCTTGCGTTCCGATCAAATTTATAGTAAAGACATCGTATCGACATCTCGACGACATGGGTGGAGGCAACGGACAGAAGGCCAAGATGGCTCGCGAGAAGGCGCAGGCCAAGATGTCAGCTAACCGAGGTGCAGTAACTCATTTATTTCCTCGATAGTTTATTGATTTCTCATCGGTTTGTGACATAAAGGTGCCAACAGCTTTGTTATAACGAGGAAACTCTACAAAAGTCAGAAGATTCTTTCCCAGTTCTGTCTAGGTTCGCGTAAGCCCTATCGGGACATATCTCTCATAAAATGTCCTCTTTGATGATTCGATTAAAGTAGACTTAAATAAGAAGTCGTTATGTTTTTGTTTGTTTTTTAACCGTTGTATGTCGAACCTTCTGACACTTCCCTCCTACCCCCCCCTACTCTCTTTTCCCTCCCCACCTCTCTCTCTCTCTCTCTCTCTCTCTCTCTCTCTCTCTCTCTCTCTCTCTCTCTCTCTCTCTCTCTCTCTCTCTCTCGCCCTTGCTCTCTCTCAATCTCACACACTCAATCGCTCTCTCACTCTCCCTCCCCCTTTCTCTCTCTCCCGTTTCTCTCCATTTCACTTCCCATAAAACTTTCGGCTTCCGTGTTTTACAGGCAGCCAGCTTGAGGTGAACCAGAAGGCTATGAACATTCAGGTGAGATGCTTTCTGGTTGTTAGCCATCTAACAATGTGATATTGTCCTTAGATTGAATAATTCACGCTGTCGTTGTCGTTTGGGTCGTGCAGGTTCTCACATCCGCTGACGTCAGCCGATAACGCGTGTAGTTAATTCTAGGCGCGTCTCAGTATTAATTTGAACCGAGTACATCAGGCTCATGTCATCCTGCTTTGCTTATCTTCTCTTCCTTCCTCGGTATCATGCAGTGCAAGGTATGCATGCAAACGTTCATCTGCTCAAAAGCCACCTTGTGTTATCCTGCTTTCTCTCTCTCTCTCCCTCTTTTCTCCGTCGCTGCAGTGCAAAGTGTGCATGCAAACGTTCATCTGCACGACAAACGAGGCCAAGTGCAGAGAACACGCAGACGCACGGCACCCCAAGCACGACTTCTATGTGTGCTTTCCCCATCTCAAGCAGTGATCGCACTCCAAGGTACATGCTCTAGGGTTTGGATAATCTGGAAGGCGAGGTAGTAGTGAGTCAGGCTGCGGCTTATATGCGGAGAGGGGCGGGTGGTGGGATGTGGGGGTTGGGTGGGGAGGGGGGAGGGGGGATGGGTTTGAGTGTGTCCGCATGACCTCTGTTGACAGAGGTTAGAGGAATGTGAATGAGTGGTAAGCCATTGTGATAGTAGAGGTATTGAAACCTGGATGGGCGTATGATACTTATAAGGGGCGATGGAGAGGATGGAGAAGACAGGGAGAATGTAAAGACATTGGATCTTGCATACCATATGAGTGTAGGTGTGCACATTCCAAGTTTAGGGTTACGGCTCCCAGAAGCACATGCTTTTTCCTAGTGCTATCTCATCCGCCGCTCATCTGTGTGATTGTTCATGCTTTTCCTTTCAAGTGATCAATAATATAGATTTGCGGTATGTAGTTCTTGAGGTGTCTCAGCTTGGCCCCCCCCCCTGTTGCTCACTTCTGCCCACCTGGTGTGTTGTGCAGGCATGGCTATTATGCAGGGAACAGGCTCAGGCTCTTCAAAAGCAGTTATACACCTGGCAAAAAAAAAAAAAAAAAAAAAAAAAAAAAAAGTCCAGCCGTAGCTTCATTTTCTTTGGAAATTGGTATTGGTTTTGGAGAACAATATTGTCTCTTTTGTCTTAAGTAGGTTGTCTGTTTCTTCCTTATGCTAGCTGTTTCTGGTGCAGTACTTTCTGGTTACAGCCAACACTGACTGCTGCATTGGTAGTGAATAGGCAGTACTATTTCACGTACATTTCAAATGCACTCATTAACCAATTTGGGCATGATCCAGGGGCAAGGATTAGTTGTGCTTCTGGAGAATGCAACAGCAACTAAATGTGTGTTTTCAATTGGACAAATCACCTCATGTCCAGGCCTCATTCAGAGCCACGTGTCCCGAGTACAGCCTCCCATTGGTCGATCTCAGCTCGTCGATCAGACGGTTCCAATTCGACGCGAGCGCGCCGACGAAATAATCCGCTTGCGTCGTGATGATGAGATTCGCGAAAATCTCCCCCGTGCGCTGCTTGTCCTTCACATGCTCCTCCTGCATCTGCGTTGCACTCGTCACCCGCCCACTCGTCGTGTAGTGGAAGGTCCAATCCGGAAAGTTGGAAGTTTCCTCAATCACGCTCTGTGAAGAAAGACGCCACAATGCATTCAGGAGAAATGAGGAGGGGTGTGAGAAAAGGAGGGGGAGACTAGGAGCCAGAGGAGGAGGAAGGGGAGAGGGGGGAGGCGGGGAAGGGGGATGGGGAAGAGTGGAAGTGGGGGGGACATGCCATATTTCATCTACCTCGTACAAACACTCAACTGCGTGCAGAAATGTACAATGTACCCCTTATCAGCAGACCCACAAGCTCACCTGCATCTCTGTGCTGAGCCACACGTGCTCCAGGTTCGGCACGTGCGCCCGCAGCTTATACATAAAGTACATATAAGTCGCGAAGAAGTGTAGCTTCATCTCGAGGTATTTATCGCTCAGCCGCACGTGCAGGCTGACGTATGGCCGGAATATAAACAGTTCGTCTTGTAACGAGGAAAACTCCAACGCCGCACCTCCCCCCGCATTCGCACTCCCCGCTCCCGCACACGCCTCGGATTCATTACACCGCGTTCCCACACACCCCGCGAATCCCTTCATCTGCCATACAGTCCCGGCTAGGCTCGACTTGTATGCGACAGAAGGCGGAACAGCAGAAGAGGCGTCAGGGAGAGAGTTCAAGTGCTGGGATTCCGGAGTGTTGGGGGGTGTGGAGTGGAGAATGGTCTGTTGCTTGGCTGTAGCGGATACGACCCGCTCTGCTACAGCCATCCCGTAGGTGTTGTGTCGCACGCGGTTGGTGATGTGGCAGAGCAGGGCAGAGGGCCAGCGGAGGAGAAAGCGTGCGGTTTGGGAGCGCCACCAACGCTCCTGTTTGATGGGAAGGGGGAAAGGGGAGTGGGGAGAGAGAAACAGGGAGCACAAAGTTGGTGGTGTGGCAGCGGAGAGCAGAGGGCCAGCGCATGAGGAACCGAGCGGTTTGGGACCGCCACCAACGCTCCTGATTGAGGGGGGGAGGAGAGGAGGAAGGGGGGAAAAGGTCAAATGCGGTTGGTGATGTGGCAGAGCAGGGCGGAGAGCCAGCGCAAAAGGAATTAAGGTACTGCTGCTCATCCCAACCTGCTGCTCACCCGAACGTGGTTATCATACATTCATGGAGCAGCCAGATTCTCCCCAGCTGCTCGATCGTGAAAGGATGTTCCCTGGCGGTGGCACCATGCCATGCCATCTCATAGACACTCCAGCATGTGCTCTTCACCCCTTTGAACCCCTCTGCTTCTCACCCCCCTGCTGCTGCTCACCCCAATGTGGTTGTCATTGGGCGGCCATATCTTCCCCCAGCTGCTCGCTCGTGAACGGATGCTCATTGCAAGTGGCACCATCCCCTATGTGGCCACGCGCTGCTTACCCAACACGCTGCTCACCCCAACCTTCTGCTCACCCCAATGTGGTTGTCGTTGGGCACCCAGATTCTCCCCAGCTGCTCGATGGTGAATGGATGCTCCAGCTCGGGCGGTCTGCCGTCAGGCGCCACCCAGAGGCTGCACGAGTGAGGGGAGTGATCCGAAGGGGTCAGTCAGCAAAGAAAAAAAGGGCGTCGCAGAGGGAAGAGAGGATGTTCAGAAGATGAGGATTTGCAGCAGGAAGGAAGAAGATGCTTGATCGTCTAAGGCTGCTCCAGCTCTGACAATCTGCTGTTCTTCCTTCTTGAAAGGGCAGGGACAGGAGCCACTTAGAGGTTGAAAGGGTGGAGGAGTGACCCAGAGGGAACAGCAAAGAAAAAAAGGGTGTGGTAGAGGGAAGAGAGGATGTTCAGAGGAGCAGGATCCGCAGCAGGAAAGAAGAAGATGATCCGGCGGTGTCCTGTAAGGAGCAACCCGGAGGCTGCATTGCAAGAATGTAGAAAGGTCAGGGAGGAGAAAGAGAGAGGGGAAACACACCCACCTGGCAGCTCTAGCGGCGTCGTGGTGGTAGTGAGGGCGTATCCCTGGGTGGTGGCAGGGCCACTGTAGATGGCAGAGTTGGTGGCATGCGGGAAAACCGCATGCCACCAACATTTTTACCGAGGCGCGCGCGACTCGTATTTGGTGGCATTGAAGTGACATTTTTGGGGCATTGCCCAATCACGCACCTGTATTCGCGCACCAAATTTCCTGACACCAACCTGGCGTTTTATGTGTTCGTGGCAGGCTGCCATCTACAGTGGCCCTGCCACCACCCAGGGATACGCCCTGAGTGTCATTACAGATCATCACTTGAGCAGCCGATGCCAGCACCATTACAGCACCATCACAGTACCATCACAGCATAGCCTTATAACCTGGCAGCACTAACAGGCAGCACCCACCTGGCAGCTCTTGCAGCATCGTGGTGGTAGTGGGTGTCGTTGCAAATGACCACTTGAGTAGCCGACGCCAGCACCGTTTCCTTGGTATCGTTGAACAGAGCGATAGGTGCTGTTGCTTCTGCTGCGAGAGCGACTTTGAGGCAGTCTGGGGAGGCGACGGGGAAGAAGTAACACTCCCACTCGCCCTCCTGCCCGATGTCTGGGGGATGGGGATAGGGCGGGCACATGGGTGGGCAATAAGACAGGCAAGAGAGGAGAGAGGGCGCGACCTTGAGGCAGTCTGGGTAGGCCACGGGGAAGAAGTAACACTCCCACTCGCCCTCCTGCCCGATGTCTGTGGTGTGGAAATAGGGAGGGTCAGGGAGAGACAGAGGGCGGAGGGGATTGTGGTGAGGAGAGCGATCAGTGCTGCTGCTGCTTCTGCTGCTAACGCGACCTTGAGGCAGTCTGGGGGGGCGACAGGGAAGAAGTAACACTCCCACTCGCCCTCCTGCCCTATGTCTGGGAGTAGATGTGTGTTGATGGGGATAGGCGGGTAAGGGGGGGAGGAGACAGGGGATAGGAGACTGTGGGGTAAGGGAAGAGATCGATGGGTGTTACTGCTGTGAGGGCTGCTAAGGCGACCTTGAGGCAGTCTGGGGAGGCGACAGGGAAGAAGTAACACTCCCACTCGCCCTCCTGCCTGATGTCTGGGGGATGGGGATAGAGAGGGTCAGGGGGGGATTGAGGACAAGGGATTGTGGTGAAGAGAGCGAGTGGCGCTGCTGCTTCACCTGCACACTCCTGCCCACTGGCGCGGTGGAAGCAGTGGGTGTGGGGGTGGATGATGCAGCACTCTCCATCTTACCCTACCCCGCACCCTTACCCCCTCGCCACTTCACCTGCACACTCCTGCCCACTGGCGCGGTGGAAGCAGTGGGGGTGGACGACGAGTGTGCCGTTGTGTTAATTCCCTTGTACCTACTTGTACCCCTCCTCACCCCACCACACCTCACCAGTGCATTTCTGCCCACTGGCGCAGTGGAAGGTGCGAGGGCGGATGACGAGCGTCCTTTTGCGCTGCACAGCACAGCACAGCCATTCCCTTCCTTATACTCCCCACCTGTCCTGTACCCATTCACCCCACATTCCCCCCCACTGGCGCAGTGGAAGGTGCGAGGGCGGATGACGAGCGTCCTTTTGCGCTGCACAGCACAGCACAGCCATTCCCTTCCTTATACTCCCCACCGGTCCTGTACACATCCACCCCACATTCCCCCCCACTAGCGCAGTGGAAGGTGCGAGGGCGGATGACGAGCGTCCTTTTGCGCTGCACAGCACAGCACAGCCATTCCCTTCCTTATACTCCCCACCTGTCCTGTACCCATCCACCCCACATTCCCCCCCACTAGCGCAGTGGAAGGTGCGAGGGCGGATGACGAGCGTCCTTTTGCGCTGCACAGCACAGCACAGCTATTCCCTTCCTTATACTCCCCACCTGTCCTATACCCATCCACCCCACATTCCCCCCCACTAGCGCTGTCCAAGTACCGACCGACCCTGACCCATCACATGCACCATGCTGCCCGTCCCGTGGTGCTTCAGGGTCGGTCGGTACTTGGACAGTTCTTTAGAGGGTGTTTGGTGTGCTAATTCCCTTCCTAAAACACTCTCTCTCCCTTCTTTCCCCCACCTCACCTGCACACTCCTGCCTGCCTGCTGGAGCGGTGGAAGGTGCGAGGACGGATGACAAGAGTTCGATTGTGCCGCACAGCGGCGTTCAGAAACGACCCCATCACATGCACCATGTTGCCGGTGCCGTGGTGGGTGGGATATGAGTGCTTGGGGGAACACACCTGCGCACTCCTGCCCGCTAGCACGGTGGAAGGTGCGGGGGCGGACAACGAGCGTCCTGTTGTGCCGCACGGCGGCGTTCAGAAACGACCCCATCACATGCACCATGTTGCTGGTGCTGTGGTGCTTGATGGGGGGTGAGTGCTTGGGGGAACACACCTGCGCACTCCTGCCCGCTAGCACTGTGGAAGGTGCGGGGGCGGATGACAAGAGTCCGATTGTGCCGCACGGCGGCGTTCAGAAACGACCCCATCACATGCACCATGTTGCCGGTGCTGTGGTGGGTGGGATATGAGTGCTCGGGGGGTGAGTGCTTGGGGGAACACACCTGCGCACTCCTGCCCGCTAGCGCGGTGAAAGGTGCGGGGGCGGATGACGAGCGTCCTGTTGTGCCGCACGGCGGCGTTCAGAAACGACCCCATCACATGCACCATGTTGCTGGTGCTGTGGTGCTTGATGGGGGGTGAGTGCTTGGGGGAACACACCTGCGCACTCCTGCCCGCTAGCACTGTGGAAGGTGCGGGGGCGGATGACAAGAGTCCGATTGTGCCGCACGGCGGCGTTCAGAAACGACCCCATCACATGCACCATGTTGCCGGTGCTGTGGTGGGTGGGATATGAGTGCTCGGGGGGTGAGTGCTTGGGGGAACACACCTGCGCACTCCTGCCCGCTAGCGCGGTGAAAGGTGCGGGGGCGGATGACGAGCGTCCTGTTGTGCCGCACGGCGGCGTTCAGAAACGACCCCATCACATGCACCATGTTGCTGGTGCTGTGGTGCTTGATGGGGGGTGAGTGCTTGGGGGAACACACCTGCGCACTCCTGCCCGCTAGCACTGTGGAAGGTGCGGGGGCGGATGACAAGAGTCCGATTGTGCCGCACGGCGGCGTTCAGAAACGACCCCATCACATGCACCATGTTGCCGGTGCTGTGGTGGGTGGGATATGAGTGCTCGGGGGGTGAGTGCTTGGGGGAACACACCTGCGCACTCCTGCCCGCTAGCGCGGTGAAAGGTGCGGGGGCGGATGACGAGCGTCCTGTTGTGCCGCACGGCGGCGTTCAGAAACGACCCCATCACATGCACCATGTTGCTGGTGCTGTGGTGCTTGATGGGGGGTGAGTGCTTGGGGGAACACACCTGCGCACTCCTGCCCGCTAGCACGGTGGAAGGTGCGGGGGCGGATGACAAGAGTCCGATTGTGCCGCACGGCGGCGTTCAGAAACGACCCCATCACATGCACTGTTGCTGGTGCTGTGGTGCTTGATGGGGGGTGAGTGCTTGGGGGAACACACCTGCGCACTCCTGCCCGCCAGCGCGGTGAAAGGTGCGGGGGCGGATGACGAGCGTCCTGTTGTGCCGCACGGCGGCGTTCAGAAACGACCCCATCACATGCACCATGTTGCTGGTGCTGTGGTGCTTGATGGGGGGTGAGTGCTTGGGGGAACACACCTGCGCACTCCTGCCCGCTAGCACGGTGGAAGGTGCGGGGGCGGATGACAAGAGTCCGATTGTGCCGCACGGCGGCGTTCAGAAACGACCCCATCACATGCACCATGTTGCCGGTGCTGTGGTGGGTGGGATATGAGTGCTCGGGGGGTGAGTGCTTGGGGGAACACACCTGCGCACTCCTGCCCGCTAGCGCGGTGAAAGGTGCGGGGGCGGATGACGAGCGTCCTGTTGTGCCGCACGGCGGCGTTCAGAAACGACCCCATCACATGCACCATGTTGCTGGTGCTGTGGTGCTTGATGGGGGGTGAGTGCTTGGGGGAACACACCTGCGCACTCCTGCCCGCTAGCACGGTGGAAGGTGCGGGGGCGGATGACAAGAGTTCGATTGTGCCGCACGGCGGCGTTCAGAAACGACCCCATCACATGCACCATGTTGCCGGTGCTGTGGTGGGTGGGATATGAGTGCTCGGGGGGTGAGTGCTTGGGGGAACACACCTGCGCACTCCTGCCCGCTAGCGCGGTGAAAGGTGCGGGGGCGGATGACGAGCGTCCTGTTGTGCCGCACGGCGGCGTTCAGAAACGACCCCATCACATGCACCATGTTGCTGGTGCTGTGGTGCTTGATGGGGGGTGAGTGCTTGGGGGAACACACCTGCGCACTCCTGCCCGCTAGCACGGTGGAAGGTGCGGGGGCGGATGACAAGAGTCCGATTGTGCCGCACGGCGGCGTTCAGAAACGACCCCATCACATGCACTGTTGCTGGTGCTGTGGTGCTTGATGGGGGGTGAGTGCTTGGGGGAACACACCTGCGCACTCCTGCCCGCCAGCGCGGTGAAAGGTGCGGGGGCGGATGACGAGCGTCCTGTTGTGCCGCACGGCGGCGTTCAGAAACGACCCCATCACATGCACCATGTTGCTGGTGCTGTGGTGCTTGATGGGGGGTGAGTGCTTGGGGGAACACACCTGCGCACTCCTGCCCGCTAGCACGGTGGAAGGTGCGGGGGCGGATGACAAGAGTCCGATTGTGCCGCACGGCGGCGTTCAGAAACGACCCCATCACATGCACCATGTTGCCGGTGCTGTGGTGGGTGGGATATGAGTGCTCGGGGGGTGAGTGCTTGGGGGAACACACCTGCGCACTCCTGCCCGCTAGCGCGGTGAAAGGTGCGGGGGCGGATGACGAGCGTCCTGTTGTGCCGCACGGCGGCGTTCAGAAACGACCCCATCACATGCACCATGTTGCTGGTGCTGTGGTGCTTGATGGGGGGTGAGTGCTTGGGGGAACACACCTGCGCACTCCTGCCCGCTAGCACGGTGGAAGGTGCGGGGGCGGATGACAAGAGTCCGATTGTGCCGCACGGCGGCGTTCAGAAACGACCCCATCACATGCACTGTTGCTGGTGCTGTGGTGCTTGATGGGGGGTGAGTGCTTGGGGGAACACACCTGCGCACTCCTGCCCGCCAGCGCGGTGAAAGGTGCGGGGGCGGATGACGAGCGTCCTGTTGTGCCGCACGGCGGCGTTCAGAAACGACCCCATCACATGCACCATGTTGCTGGTGCTGTGGTGCTTGATGGGGGGTGAGTGCTTGGGGGAACACACCTGCGCACTCCTGCCCGCTAGCACGGTGGAAGGTGCGGGGGCGGATGACAAGAGTCCGATTGTGCCGCACGGCGGCGTTCAGAAACGACCCCATCACATGCACCATGTTGCCGGTGCCATGGTGCTTGGGGGGCCAGTCGGTTATCATTAGCCGCCGCCCGGCACAGCTGGCGGGGAACTGCCGCTCCCACAGGTCCCGCTGGAAGACACGTGTCAGCGCGAGATTTGCCGCGTCAGAACCGCGGATCTGGGTTTTCCGGGAAGGGGGTAGGGGAATGAGGAAACGGGGGTTGGAGGGGGACACGTGAGGGTGGAAATAGGGGAAATAGGTCGTGAGTAGGGTGAAGGGGGATGGGATGGGATGGGATGGGATGGTGGTGGGAGAAATGAATTTAAAGTGTGGATGCTAGAGTGGTCTCACAAGCTCTGAATCTCCAAAAGCAATTCTATTTTTGGAAGTAAAGAAAGGAGGAATGAAAAAGTCTGGGTAGAAAAAAGAGAGGGAAAGGAGGAACAATCTCTCGCCCGCGGTGGTTGTGGCGTGCGCTGCGCATTTGCAGCACTTGCCTAATAGCACAGCACGCACCCGCGGTGGTTGTGGCGTGCGCTGCGCAGTTGCAGCACTTGCCTTGCCTAATAGCACAGCACCCACCCGGGGGTCCTTGCTGCTTGCACTGTGCACTGGGCTCGATCCTCCAGCAGTATGTGATACGTCGAGTTTTGAGTCGACTCGAAACTCGTGCGCAGTTGCAGCACTTGCCAAATAGCACAGCAGCACCCACTCAGGGTCCTCCCTTGCTGCTTGCACTGTGCACTGGGCTCGATCCTCCAGCAGTAACACAGCAGCACCGAAACACTCATCCAGGGGGGTTGGGGCGTGCAGTTGCAGCACCTGCCCGGTCGCACCCACTCAGGGGTCCTCCCCATGCGCCCCCCTCGCCTCTGCCTTCACCCTCAGGAATCCTGTCTTGGCCGTGCAGTCCCCTCTGGGTGGGGCGCGGTGTACCACTCACCAACCACTCACCAACCACTCACCAACCACTCACCAACCACTCACCAACCACTCACCAACCACTCACCAACCACTCACCAACCACTCACCAACCACTCACCAACCACTCACCAAGGGTGAGCCAACTCACAGCACACTCACCCAGGCCGGAACTACTCAACAAAAACTCACCCAGGGTGGTTGGGGCGTGCAGTTGCAGCACTTGCCCGGTCGCACCCACTCAGGGTCCTTCATTGCTGCTTGCACTGTGCGCACTGTGCAGTGTGCAGTGTACAGGATTCCCTAGCAATCACACACCAGCACGACACACTCACCCAAGGGGGTTGCGGCGTGCAGTTGCAGCACCTGCCCGGTCGCACCCACTCAGGGTCCTCCCCGTTTGCCCCCCTCGCCTCTGCCTTCACCCTCAGAGCAGTCTTGGCCGTGCAGTCCTCCAGGTGGGGCGCTGGAGGGCAAGTTGTGACTATCCACTCACCAAACACTTACCAATCACTCACCAAGGGCGAGTCAATGCAACAAACACTCACCCAAGGGGGTTGGGGCGTGCAGTTGCAGCACCTGCCCGGTCGCACCCACGCAGGGTCCTCCCCATGCGCCCCCCTCGCCTCTGCCTTCACCCTCAGGGCAGTCTTGGCCGTGCAGTCCTCCAGGTGGGGCGCTGGAGGGACGTCCGGGGGGAAGGAGAGCGGCGAGGGGGAGCGAGTGGTGTCTTCTCCTAGGTTATACACCTTGGTCCAGGACTGTAGAGAGGTGGGAAGGGGTGGGGAGGGATGCGGACGGGTGGGGAGGGGTGGGGAGGGGTGGGGAAGAGTGGGAAGGGGTGAGGATGAAATATAAACCAGTATTGGCCGTGCAGCCCTCTAGGTGGGGTGCTGGAGGGACGTCCGGGGGGAAGGAGAGCGGCGAGGGGGAGCGAGTGGTGTCGTCTGCTAGGTTATACACCTTGGTCGATGACTGGCAGGGATGGAGACGGGTGGGAAGGGGTGGGGAGGTGCGAGGAGGGACGCGGAGGGGTGGGGAGGGGTGGGAGCGACATCTGGGCCCGGGGTCATCTGCCAGCCAGGCTATACGCCTTGGTCCACGCCTGCAGAACGGGTAACCTGCTTCACGGCCCCTCTATGCGCGTTGACTTTTGGGTCGACTCAAAAGTCAACATTATACGCCTTGGTCCACGCCTGTAGAGCGGGTAATCTACTTCACGGCCTCTCTATGCGCGTTTCTGACACCACTCCCCCATACAATCGCCACCCCATCCCCCCGATCATCTTACTGTACCCCCCCAACTTCCCGCCTTTCGTCCCTCCATCCCCCCGACCACCGACCCGCCATTTTCCCCGCACAAGACGCTACCTCGTGAATCCGCGTCGCAGCTTCCGCAAACTCTTTCGCAAGCTCTGGGCTGGACTGCAACCCCGCTCCCCGAGTTGACTTTTGAGTCGACTCAAAAGTCAACTCTTTCGCAAACTTCCGGGCTAGACTGCAACCCCGCTCCCCCAAACCATCTTTCCCACCAGCATAGGACCCTACCTCGTGTAAGCGCTTCGCAGCTTCCGCTAATTCCGGGCTGATCTGCGGCATGCCTTGTCCCGCGGGGATCACGGCGCCAAGCACGGTGAGCACCAAGAGCGGGACCAGAGCCCATCTGCTGCACCCCATCCGCGATACAGTTTGTCCCGGAAGGGACACTAGTTTTCGTGGAATTTCCTTTGGGTGACTCGAAATGCGCCGCGGGAACTAGTCGAAGGTCACTCCTGTGACACGCTTCAGAAGCGACAACTGAGTCACGGTTCTAGGCAGGCTACTGCTGCTCTAATTCCGCTAGCTTACGCGAAACTCGCAGATTTTGCATTATTCAGATGTCGTCTGGTGGTCATTCGGGATATCAACCAGACCTCGCTGCTCTGGGAAACCACTCTGGGAAACCGCTCTGGGGAACCAGGCAACAATGACCTGGTAGGAATGAGCTAAACGAATAAGAGACACGATGTCGCGAAGGTGTGTTGAACACTGCAGGAGAGTTTGAGGCTGTGACCGGGAAACGCGGGCGTGTACGCGATATAAGACGACTTCGTCATTCGACCAACCCGGTGAGAGGAGATGGTTGGTTGGTTTGGTGGCGGAACCTCCCTAGGTTCGTGAAAGTCCCAAGGTGTTGGAAACTCGATAGGATGAGTTGCGTTTGCAACGAATACGGTCAGGGTCGAAGGAAAGTACAGTAAACAATATTTCAGAAAGCCCCCAGCGTCAGCGATTTGTAGCACCGAACCCAGCTGCAGTGCGAGCCTCGGTCAGATTCTGGCACTTACGTTTCGCCGAACAAAAGTTCCGCTTGTTGGTGCAATTTCAGCTAAAAGGTTGAGTCGAGTTTCAGCATATATGAACAGCAACCACACTGCACACGCCCTCAAACCTTTGCCATCAGAAACCTTGAGGAGCTTGCTGTCAAACTCGAGGGAACTCGCCTGAAATCTCCAGGCACGGCTCGAACCCGACCAGGGAGTTTCTCGGATCGGACTACGGATTGCGGTGAACACAAATACGCCACCTTTCGTTTCCGGCCTACGTGTGCTCGTGCTTACTAGGGCTGATATCGCATTCCAATCCCCAGAAGCTTGTCGTGGTTTCGCATCAGCTTCTGACGACGATTCCCAAATTGCGACAATGAGTACAACCGTGAGGATGCATGCTTCGCTGTCCTCGCGTACACTCTATCCCCGATACAAACCACACGACACCCTCAAGGCGTCCAACCTTTCGTCCCTTCAAACTCGAACCCTTTTCGCAAACATTTCACGAAAAACGTCCCTCCGCCTCCACCTCCTGTCCCCTTCCCCCGCGCTCGTCACCGCACAAGCGGGGAGAGGCTTCGGAAAGAAGCCGGCGGCCGGCAGTAAGACCAAGCCGGCCGGCAGCAGCAAACTGCTGGATGAGCTTGGCGCCGCCGGAGAGTCAGGAATTGCGCCTGCGGGAAAAGCGGCGGGGGCGGGGGCGGAGGCGGCGGAAGCGGCGGTGTGTCCGTGCGGGGGCGGGGGGGAGGGTGAGAAGTGCGCATACAAGGAGTGCTGCGCGCGGTACCATGGAGGGGTGAAGGAACCAGACGCCGTGTCTCTCATGAGTGAGTACACCACTGAAATGGTGGTTACCAGAACTTTCGTGTAACATGGTAACCATCGCGGTACCATGGCGGGATGAAGGAACCAGACGCTGTTTCCCTAATGAGTGAGTTGTAACTGGTGTGCGTAACATTGTGGTACCATGGGGTACCATGGGATTATTATGGGTAACCATAGTGGTACCATGGGGTAACCATGTGGTAACCATTGTGGTACCATGGGGTAACCATTGTGTTACCATGGGGTAACCATTGTGTTACCATGGGGTAACCATACCATGGGATAACCATGGGGTAACCATTGTGGTACCATGGGGTGAGGGGGAGAAGCGCGTATACGATAAATGCTGCGTGCGGTACCATGGGGGTGTGAAGTAACCAGACGCTGTTTCCCTCATAAGTGAGTTCACTGAAATGGTGGTAGCCAATTTCTCTGTGTATGACATGGTAACCATCGTGGTACCATGGGGGGGTGAACACACTGAAATGGTGGTAACCAGAATCCTTGTGCGTAACATGGTAACCATCGCAATACCATGGGGGGTTGAAGGAACCAGATGCTGTGTCTCTCATGAGTAAGCTTGAAAGTTAGACCTTCACATAGCATTCAGAACACGGTTTCTATTCTCATGCTTGAAAGTTAGTGTGTAACATGGTAACCATGTGATAATGCGGTTACGATTGCGGTTCCATGGGGGGTGAAGGAAGCATACGCTGTTTCCCTCATAAGTGGGTTATTTTTCTCGCATTGCGCATTCAGGGAAGTGGAGAGGCGAGAGGGGCTAGCCTTAAACCCTGCACCTCTGTGGATGTGTGTAATCCCCTTCTATCCCTCTCCAGAGGCGCGTTATTCAGCCTTTGCCAAGGCTGTGATTCCCTACATCGTGCGCACAACTCACGAGGACAACCCCAACATGGGATGGCATGGCACCGGGGGGAGCGGAGGGCCGCAACGCAACAGACCTGCCGTGATCCCGTACATGCCTGCCCTCCTTTTCCCCCCCTCCAGAGGCACGCTATTCAGCCTTCGCCAGGGGTGTGATTCCCTACATCGTACACACAACACATGGGGATAACCCCAACATGACTACCACCCTGGGGAGCAGAGGGTCGCAACACACACCACCCCTCAGCCGTGATCCGTCACTGGCCCTTTCAAAGGCATTATCAAGGGGAAAAAAAAAAATCCATCCCTATCTCTCTCTGCAACCCCCCTCCCTCCCTTTTCCAGAGGCGCGTTATTCAGCCTTTGCCAAGGCTGTGATTCCCTACATCGTGCGCACAACTCACGAGGACAACCCCAACATGGGATGGCATGGCACCGGGGGGAGCGGAGGGCCGCAACGCAACAGACCTGCCGTGATCCCGTACATGCCTGCCCTCCTTTTCCCCCCCTCCAGAGGCACGCTATTCAGCCTTCGCCAGGGGTGTGATTCCCTACATCGTGCACACAACACATGGGGATAACCCCAACATGACTACCACCCTGGGGAGCAGAGGGTCGCAACACACACCACCCCTCAGCCGTGATCCGTCACTGGCCCTTTCAAAGGCATTATCAAGGGGAAAAAAAAAAAAATCCATCCCTATCTCTCTCTGCAACCCCCCTCCCTCCCTTTTCCAGAGGCACGCTATTCAGCTTTCGCCAGGGGTGTGATTCCCTACATCGTGCGCACAACACACGAGGAGAACCCCAACATGGCACCCGGCGGAGCAGAGGGGCGCAAGAAGCTGACTGCTGATTGCGAGGAGACGTGCAAGCGGCTGGTCTTCAAACGCCTCGAGATTCTTTCCACTGAGGAAGGGGAAAACGATGATGTGAGTGGTTTGGAGTGGTGTGTAGTGGTGGTGAAATTGGCAGTGTACTGGTACCAGTGCCAGTGGACTTGTAACAGGGTGCATGTTGGAACTGTGCAAGTGGTTGGCTGGTGTTCACCACGATCCCGCTTCCCTCCTCATTTCCCCCCTTCACAGGAGTCTTTCGTCTCGTTCCGAGCAGTCTACGCCTACAAGCACGGCACGACCACCGACAACCAGATCCTAGTCGAAAAATCCCGCTTTGTGCGTGACCCAGAATCTGGCCGGTGGCTGTACCGCGAGAAGATTCCCCTGGATGCGGCGTCAGAGGCAGCGTGGAGGCTGGGTCCCGCTTTGGTAGAGCAGGAGCAGCAGGCGGGGGGGAGGAAGTCGTATGTCATGCGAGGGGCAGCACAGCCAAAGCTACGGCCCAGGTCCAGTTAGTAGAGGGCTTGTTGTATCAGAAGGCTACGTTACGGTACTATCATCTCTATTGGAGTTGGTCGTGCAAATGTGGTCGCCAGTGCTGAGTCCCATGGCCTTGTGTGCAAGCAGTGCAAGATTTAGATTCAAAACAAATGATGTAGTCACCCTCTCTAGTCAGACTATCACCTCGCAAACGCATCTCTTTTGAGAGTGTTTTTCGGCGAAACAATCTTAAGTTATATTAATTGAAAGATTCCTTCACGACATCCTGCTATAGCTCAGTTGGTAGAGCGGAGGACTGTAGTCAAGCAATCCTTAGGTCACTGGTTCGAATCCGGTTGGCGGGATATTTTTGCCTCTGCTGAAATTACTGGCGCTGGAAGTTTTCTGTGTTCAATAATATGGTACTTCTTCCAGCAAGACACAACACGGCTGACTGGCTAGGGGTAGCTTGCTATATGGGGCAGTGCACCATTCATGGCTTTAGGTGTCTGCTGCAACTTCAGCTGTCACTGCTGTGCTGATCTGAGCTGAACTGAGCCAAACTGACTGAACCTACTGTAGGTGGTGAATTGTTCAGCTCTTCACACTTCATTCAGTTTCTCTTCCTCACTCAATTAACAAAAAAAAAAATACAGCTACTGCCAGCTTCAGAAACCAGCTAGTGTTGTTGTAAGAATGCAGAATACCGAAATGCATTTTTTGCGATAAAAAACACCCATGTGTAATGTACCATAACAAACGGCGGTACCGGTACTGAGGATGGGGCGCCTCAAAAGGAACTCGAGAGGTGAGGTGACCAGTTCCTTGCAAAGTCGATGGTGCGTGCTGCATGCATCGGGCATGCTGCATCCACTGGGCATACTGCATGCATGAGATCTCCATTCAATTCCATGTTATGTTACTGAATGATATCTTGTTTTGTTGCAGTAAAGACTGGCACGTGGCATGTAACCATAACAAGAGCACCACCAGGCTCTTAAAATCTCTACCCAGGCTCTTAATTACATGTACCGTAGCTAGTTACCGCCCGGCAGGTGGCTTCAAAAGAGCAGTACCGGCCTAGTGGTATCGCTAGAACCTTCTCAATGAGAAGCGAGGAGGCAGCAAAGCCAGACTTCAATTCTGGCAGTCAAGAAGGACTGCCCGGCAGCCATCAGTACCGGCCTAGTGGTATCGCTCTAGAACCTTCTCAATGAGGAGTGAGAAGGCAGCGAAGCCGGCACACCCCATGCATGCTGCTTGCGGGCCCGCTGCAGGGAAAGGCAGTGAGAACGGGGTAGAAGGGGGCCAAGAAGGGAGAAGGAGAAGAACATGAGTTTCCTGGCATGCCTTATGGAACAGGAAAGGCAGTGATGCGAGCACACACCCCATGCATGATGCTTGTGGTCCCTCTGCAGTCAATGAGGGGCTTGGGGGTGAGGATGGGGAAGAGGGGAGAAAGGAGATGGAGAGTTAGTGTTGCGGCACCTGCTGAAAGACAGGACAGTCAAGGGGTGGGGTGGTGTGGGATGCGGTGTGGTGTGGTGGGATGCGGTGTGGTGTGGTGAGATGCGATTATCTGGCTGACATCCCACCTCTAGCGGACAGCGCTCCTCCCGTGACACAGCCGGCGATGACTGTAGTCACCTCATCGTGCCCCTCGCCCTCGCCTTCTCTGCCATGCACTCTGATGCTGAGAACACCCTTCTCACAGCACACACGCCTTACCCCCCCCCTACAACAACAACCCACCTCGCCCTTGCCTTCTCTGCCATGCACTCCGATGCCACGAGTGTCGCTCCCATCACTGACAGTGGCGGCCTTGCATCGCTGGAATTGCATTCACCCACCTCTGGCTGACAGTGCTTCTCCAGTGACGCAGCCAGCAATGACCGTGTTGACCTCATCATGCCTCGCCCTCGCTTTCTCTGCCATGCAATCCGATGCCGAAAAGAGGAGCCCCATCCTTTAGCCATGATGACTGGGCGAGCTGCAGCTTAGAAAATTTCTTTAGCTGCAGCTCGCCCAGTCATCATGGCCCATGCACTCTGATGCCGAAAAGAGGAGCCCCATCCTTTAGCCATGATGACTGGGCGAGCTGCAGCTTAGAAAATTTCTTTAGCTGCAGCTCGCCCAGTCATCATGGCCCATGCACTCTGATGCCGAAAAGAGGAGCCCCATCCTTTCCAGTGCTCAGACGCACACGGAACTGCTAGGTACAAGTAGTGGTTGCTAGGTAGCGGACAAGTTTAGTAGGATTCGGAAACGCCGATGAAGGCCCACAAAGCCGAAACGCGCGTACGTTTTCTGAACCACTTGTAATCTGCCTTTTAATACTACTACGCTTACCTGCACGTGCTCTCGCCTAGTACTCAGTGAACTTTTCTACTCAGATTAGTTAGGTCGGTCAACCGAGCTTGCAGCTTTCTATCCGTTTCCTTCGTTTGAGGAGCCTCATCCTTTCCAGTGCTCAGACGCACACTCAGACGCACCTCTAACCTACACACTCACCTCTGGCTGTGAGTGATCCTCCCGTGACACAGCCAGCAATGACGGTGTTGACCTCATCGTGCCTCACCCTCGCCTTCTCCGCCATGCACTCTGACGCTGAAAAGATTGCCAACAGCACTGCAAAAGGTGGCTTTGCATAGCTGGAATTGCGTTCACACACCTCTGCCTGAGAGTGCTCCCCCAGTCACACACCCCGCAACGACTGTGTTGACCCCATGGTGCCTCGCCTTCGCCTTCTCCACCATGCACTCTGACGCCGAGAAGATCGCCCCCATCACTGCCAGTGCTCAGACTCACCTCCAAACTACACACACACCTCTGGCTGAGAGTGCTCCCCCAGTGACACAGCCAGCTATGACTGTATTCACTTCATCATGCCTCGCCCTCGCCTTCTCCGCCATGCACTCCGATGCCGAGAAGATCGCCCCCATGACGGCAAAGGTCTTGCCCGTGTGCCAACTGCGCTGCGCCATCTGCCTGGCGTGGAAAGGAGCAGAGAGGAGGAGCAGAGCAGACACAGGAGGGTAATTTGAGTATACAGGTCTTCCTCGCCCTCTCTTCTGAGAATATCACTCCCATCATGGCAAAGGTCTTACCCGTGTGCCAGCTGCACTGCGCCATCTGCCTGCAGAGAAGGGGACACACACAAGCACACGATGGCAGGGGGAGGCAGTACAGGAGGCAAAGGTGACGATCGCCATGCACTCTGACGCCGAGAAAATGGCTCCCATCGCAGCAAACATGGAAGGTTGGGTGCTGGGTGGGGAACCAGAGAAGAAAAGCATCATCCCCATGACTGCAAAGGTCTTGCCCGTGTGCCAGCTGCGCTGCGCCATCTACCTGGAGTGGGAGAATGGGAGCAGGGGAGAGACTACAACAGAGACAAGGAAGGCGGTGTGAACACACGAGAGTTGATTGCATGAGCCCTATTCCTGCCCGTGTCCCAACTGCGTGAGCCATGTACCTGAATGAAGATGTTGGAAAATGGGGAGGTGGAACGAGCAGAGAGGAGGTGGAACGAGCAGAGAGGAGGTGGAACGAGCAGAGAGGAGGTGGAACGAGCAGAGAGGAGGTGGAACGAGCAGACAGGAGGTGGAACGAGCAGAGAGGAGGAGGTGTAGACACAGGAGGGTCAAAAGTGGCACAGGCAGTATGAACAGTGGTTTATTATTCGCCACTGAACACACGATAATGAACACAGGGCTACGTAAACCGAACATCCACACTTACTTAAACTTATGCACCAGCTGCCGCCCTGTGCTGGTGCATGTGTGCGTGTGTCCTCCACACGTCCAGGGGGGGGTGTATGCCCATGTCAAGGCAGCACCGCACCAATGCACACATGTGAATGCACCCACTTGAAGCCATGCACCAGCTGCTGCCGCGTGCTCATCGCCTCCACATGCAGAGCAGGGGCTGGTGCATGCACATGTCAAGACGGCACCACATTAACACGCAGACTACCACTGTTCGCTGCAATGATGAGTGCACCACATGCATGGCCTGGCTTCCGAATGCACTCACTTGAACCCATGCACCAGCTGCTGCCGCGTGCTCATCTCCTCCACATGCAAGGGCTGGTGAAGGCCCATGTCAAGGCAGCACCGCACCAATGCACACATGTGAATGCACTGCACCATGGCACGTCACTCACTTGAACCCATGCACCAGCTGCTGCCGCGTGCTCATCTCCTCCACATGCAACGGCTGGTCCAACGCGCCGAACAGCAGACCCATCATCACCCCCATGCCTCCGCCTGCAATGAAAAGGAGTGAGGGTTCACGGAGCAGTATGTGAGGGGAACAGCGGAAAGAGTTTGTCAACAGTGCATCATGGTTACGAGGCATTAGTTAAGAACCTAACTCAAGTAAGACTTCGCTTCTCCAAGCATATTGGTGCGACTTCTCAAAAGTCGCTTTTCCAAGCACAGAACAGCAGACCCATCATCACCCCCATGCCGCCCACCTGGAGTGGGGAGGAGGACAAGAATTAGGGTGCAAGGAGCAACACGATTGAGGGGGAGGGGAGGAGCAGGAGCAAGGGAGAAAATGAGGGCAGCAACATGACTGAGTGTTTCATCAACCGTGAGTCACCGTTAATGCCGCAGAAAACGGTTCGCACGCCGCAGAGGTTCATCATCATCTCCTCAGCCGCGATCTCATCTCCTCCGGTGTGATGTGGTGTGGTGTGGTGTGGGCAGCCCTGCTGACTGAACGGCGTCACTGAATGGTGCTCGGTTGTGACATTATTGAATGTGACTATGCTGCTGCAATAACACTCACCCATCACGCCGCTAATAACGGTTCGTACGCCGCAATGATTCATCATCTCCTGAGCCGCCATCTCCTCCGGTGTGGGCATCTTATACGGCGCTTTGGCGGCTTGGGCGTTCCCTGAGTGCGGCTCCGCCGGCGCGCCTCCACTCGCCTCTGGCGGCGTGGCGACAGCTGCGGTGAGACCGTCGGATTGAGAAGACTGAGAGGATGACATAGCGATCCGACCGTTGATTTGATCGTGTTTGAGGAGCTGCAGAGCCGTTTATTAGGCCACTTCTGGGTAAACTCAGAAGCCGTCTGGACTAGCTAATGCCGTAAAGTGGGCGGGCAAAGCGTGTGAACGAGGGAATGCTGAAAGCACTGGTCAATCTGATTGGCAGGAAGGGGACGACCGGCTAACGGCCGTTTAAATCAGATGCTACAAGCAGGAGCCGTCGATCGCATCGCGTGGCGTCGCGTCGCGCGGATGCACTGAATCAGGTTACGAGGACACGGGTTTGCGGATCAGGACTGAAAGCTGAAGAGCGCACGGGTTTGCGGATCAGGACTGAAAGGTGAAGTGCGCAAATGCTTCAGAATCGGGCTTGTTCGGACTGATCCCGCGGATTCGGGCAGATTCGAGCAGATTCGAGCAGATTCGGGCAGATTCGGGCAGATTCCGGCAGAAACAGTTCGGGCTGGATAACGGAGAGGTCGTGCAGATCAGGACTATTGACTTTTGGAATAACTAACTCCGAATTACCTCTTACGATCGAGGTTCTGAGCCTGCGAATCCGCGGAACGGATCGAGGCGTAGACGGCGGTTGTGCGGATCTGAAGGAGAGTGGTCGCGATTCGCGAGAGTAGAGGCACAGTTGGTTGCGTGCGGCGCAGATGGAGGGCGGAGGCGGTTTTGTGAGAGGTTTGACCCGAGTGCGTTCCGCAAGGGGGGAAGAGATGGCGCGGAGCGACGCGGGGCGACGCAGGGCGGCGCGGAAGACGCGGAATGGCGCGGAGCGACGTGGAATGACAGGAAATCAGTGGTGGTGAGCGCACGAGGCAGGACAAGAAGTCCTCACGAGGCGAGTGGGTAAGCAGAAATCGATATAAGCAGCGAGCTTGATATGAGTCTCGTACAGTGTAACATTGTATCCAAGGTTTTAAACTTTCGCCTTCTGCGCTGTAGCGCGTACGCGAAGACCAATAACTTCTCAGCCCTGAAACTTTGTCAGAATGCGTTTTGGTTTGCAGTTCTCTGTAAATCTGACCCGTCGATGAAGTTCATGATCAAGTTAGCGCACCACATCCCAAGCCTAGAGATTCCCAACAAACTACCCGTAGAAATCCCAACGTACAGTGCCTTGAGAATCCCGAAACCTTTCAGACCCCAGACCAGAAAGCAATAACACGCAATCATGCCCGACCAGGCCAGACGCTCCAATCCCCTGACCATTGTAAAGCCTCTCCCCTCTCCCGTCTCCCCTCCTTACACCCTCTTTCCCTAGATTCACACAGGTAGAGACATATCAACCGCAGGCAGGCAACCTCCTTCCCGCATAACTTTCCGAAAAGCGAAGCTGTCGAGTAATTAGAGTTACAACAAAGAGTTTGCAGCACGCAGCAGTTTTTCCGTTGGGAGTTTCTAGGTTTTGTCAGGGCTTGCTGGATTGGCAAGTAGAGTTTCACGAACAAACTTCGATCTTTGACGATAACACTTTCACTCGGTGTTTCGCCGAGAAATCGAAGGCCTGCGTATTGTGTCTTTCGTTTTCGTAAAACCCAGGGGGGAGAAGCCGGCAATTAGAAGGTGTACGTTTCGTGATCTGAAGCCCGCTCTCGTGTCCGAATCGACTGCCGGTGAAGGGTTTGAACAGCACACAGTCAGACAAGAAGAGATGGAAAGGCCGGAAGGGGAAGCGAGAGAGGAGATGAGAGAGGGAGTGAGCGAGGAGGGGAGGACGGGAGCGAAGGAGGGAGAGAGGGGGGATGAGGAGGAGGAATGGCAGCAGGCGACAAGGCCACGGCCGCGATCTGGAATGCAGCAGCAGCGCGGAGGGGGAGGAAGAAGGGGAGGACGAGGAGGAAGAGGGGAGGGAGGAAGAGGAGGGAGAGGCGGATGGGGGGAAAGAGGGAAGGGGGAAGGAGGTAGGGGAGGAAGAGGCGGATGGGGGGAAAGAGGAAGGGGGGAAAGAGGGAGGGGGGAAGGAGGAAGAGGCTTTGGTGGGAGAGGAGAAGGGCAACGGGGTTTGCAACAGGGGCACTGGCAACAACAACAACAACAACAGCAGCAACAACAATATCAGGAACAGCAAAAGCAGCAGCCGCAACAACAACCACAACAACAACAGCCACAGAAGCAGCAGCAGCAGGCACAGCAGCAACAGCCGGCACAAGCACAGCAAGGTGCCCCTCCCTCCGCTTGGAATCGCCACGTGTGGGGCCGACCTGCTGAGCAAGCGGTGCCAGCCGCGCAGCAACAGGCGACAACCACGCAGAAAGATGCGACAGTCGCACAGCAACAGGCGACAGCAGCAGCGCAGCAACAGACGACAGCAGCAGCGCAGCAACAGGCGACAGCAGCAGCGCAGCAACAGACGACAGCAGCAGCGCAGCAACAGGCGACAGCAGCAGCGCAGCAACAGACGACAGCAGCAGCGCAGCAACAGGCGACAGCAGCAACGAAGCAACAGGAAGCAACAGAACCAGAGGCATCAGCGCAACAGCAACAGCAGCCACAGCAAGCCCCCCCTCCCTCCGCTTGGAATCGCCACGTGTGGGGCCGACCTGCTGAGCAAGCAGTGCCAGCAGCGCAGCAACAAGCGACAGTCGCAGGGCAGCAGGCGACAGTCGCAGAGCAACAAGCGACAGTCGCAGGGCAGCAGGCGACAGCCACGCAGCAAGACGCTGGGCAGCAGCATGCGACAGCACTGACGCTACCAGAGGTACCGGCGGCACAAGCACCGGCAGCGGCGCACGCACAGGCTGAAGCGCAGGCACAACAGCCAGCGACGCACGCGCGACAGCCAGCGACGCACGCACAACAGGCAGCAGCGCAAGCACAGGTAGAAGCACAAGCAGAAGCACAAGTGCAAGTAGCAGGTGATGAAGTGCAGGCAGGGGTATCAGCGCATCCACATACTGCTTCTCTTTCTGCGTCCGCTGCTATCCCTCCTGCGTCAAGTCCGACCCCTCCTGCTGCCTGTGCTGCCCCAACTACCTCTGCTTCCCCTCCTCCCTCACAACCCCTCAACACCCCACCCCAACACACCCCACCCCAACACACCCCACCCCAACACACCCCACCCCAACACACCCCTCCCCAACACACCCCACCCCAACACACCCCTCCCCAACACACCCCTCCCCAACACACCCCTCCCCAACACACCCCACCCCAACACACCCCTCCCAAGCACACCCCTCCGAAGTCCTGGGCTGCTCTACTTGCGTCAAAATCGACACCACAGCAGCAACAGCAACAGCAACAGCAGCAAGGGAAATTGCAGCAGCAGCAGCAGCAGGAACAATATGTACCGTCACCAGCAGCCGCACCTTGCGTGCTGTTGCCAGGCGTTGATGGGGACAATGTCACGGCTATATCAGCTGCTGGTATCGCCAATGCTGCCCCTATGCCTGCTGCCACTGCTGCTGCGGAGCAACCAACAACCGCAGCAGCAGCAGCAGCAGCAGCAGCAGAGGGAGCAATGCAAGCATCGCCAGCAGCAGCAGCTGTACCAGCAGCAGCACCAGGAGCAGAAGCAGCACCAACAACAGACTCGCAACCGCCGCCACCAGCACCAGCATCAGTAGTCCCACCACCAGCTACTGCAGCAGCACCAGCAACACCACCACAAATACCACCTGCAGCAACAGCAGCACCAGCATCAGCAGCATCACCAGCAGCAGTCCCGGTGCTGTTGGGTTCCCGGCCTCTAGTGGGGCGAGCAGCAGTGCCCATTGCTCCCAGGGGTCTTGTCAACAGAGGCAACCTCTGTTTCCTCAACTCCACGCTTCAGGTACTGCCCCTCGTTCCACCCTTTCAGTTCTTATTGTCATACACAGGTCTTTCAATTTCTTCCCCTCCTCGACCTCTTTTTTTTTTTTTAGTCATCACCGTGATTCATTTTTCCTCCCATTCCTTGTTCACTCAACTTTCCATAATTCTCGCATAACTCTCTCTGTTGTGCAGGCACTGGCTGGTTGCCCTGCGTTCGCCCATCTCTTGCGAGACATCTCAGCGTCGCTTGCACCACATCTCCTGGTACGTGTATGAGAGAGATGGAGGAGGGGGGTAGGGCTGTAGGGGCAACGGGAAAGTGTGCGCAAGAGGGACTGAGGACTGTCAGCTGAGGACTGTTGGCTGAGGAGCCACGTGTATTGTGGTTATCTTCTGACGTCTCAAAAATAACCTCATTGCTGAGGACTGCCGGCTGAGGACTGCCGGCTGACGACTGCCGGCTGCGCTTCGCTGTCCTCTCGTATTCTCTCATTTCTTGAGAGCCGTCTCAGCATCTCATGGCCCATTCATTAACCCTCTTCCCAATTCAATAACTCGCCCATTCCCAAGCCCGCCGACTTTTGATTCGACTAAAAAATCAGCTCAGCATCTCGTGGCCCATTCATTTACGCTCTTCCCAATTCAGTAACTCGCCCCTTCCCAGGCACGTCACCGCACGCTGTAAGCACTGGCTGACTTCTGGAGGGAGTTTGGGCCTTGAGGCGCCCTGCCCATCGATTCGTCTGCTTCTTTTTGTCTGTCCGAAGTTCTGCTCCCGCTGCTGCCCTTCTCTCTCCGTTTCCCAGGCCTGCCATCCTACGCTGAAAGCACTTACTGACTTCTGGAAGGAGTTTGAAGTGTCTATCACGTCATCATCTAGGCCCACAACCCCACGCACGCTCTTATCCCCCCTCTCTACCCCGCTCCCTCCCACTGCTAGGCCTGCCATCCTGCGCTGAAAGCACTTACTGACTTTTGGAAGGAGTTTGAAGTGCCCATCAAGTCGTCATCTGCAGGTCCTGTAGCAACCGGAGCAGCAGAGAGGTTTGCAGGGGCGGCTGTAGCAGGAGCAGCGGCTGTAGCTGGTTCTGCTGCCGCTCCTGGTGCTGTTGGGGAGGATGGGGCGTGGGGGAAGGTTGGGGGGAAGGGCGGAGGAAGAGGAAAAGGGGGAAGAGGGGCGGGTGGAGCAGGAGTGGGGGGAATGGGGGCAGGGGCAGCGGGAGGGAGAGGGGCGGGGAGAGGGATAGCTGGTTCTCCTGCCACTGCTGCTGCGCCTGTTCCTGCTGGTGCTGCTGCTGCTGGTGTTGCTGGCAGCACACGAGGTGTATCAATTGCGTCTGCACTGACAGCAACGGCCGCATCAGCAACAGCAGCAGCGGCTGCAGCAGCCGGGGGTGAGGAGGGGTTGACAGCGGTGGCAGTGGGGCGAGCAGTGGTGCCGACTATGTTTGAAGGGCTGCTGTCACAGTTCAACCCCCAGCACCACAGGAACGGAGTGCACCTGAGGTGGGTGTATGGGCAGGGTGCGGGCTCTGAGGGGGACAAGGAAGGGGTATTGTTCAGTGCAGTGGGGTGAGCAGTGGTGCCGTCCTTGATTGATTTGAAGGGCGCTGTTCAACCCCCAGCACCACAGAAACGGGGTGCACTGGAGGTGGAGTTTTGCATAAGTGTGGGGAAAGGGGCTGGGGAAGAGTGGAAGGGCTATTATCAGTCAGGTGCAGTGGGGTGAACAGTGGTGCTGTCCATGTTTGAAGGTCGTCTGTCCTGTGTTTTTTTTTCCTCGTTTGCTCTGCTTGGGCAACGTTAGGTCAGTCAGTCAGTGGACTCATAGAGCTCTGCTTGAGCAAGAGGAGGCTCAGGAGTCTCCAACCTTCCTGACCTGACCTACCGTTTGCCCCTCTTCTTTTCCCCCTTCTCTTGTATCGTTTTTATGCTATTATTTGACAAAAAAAAAAAAAAAAAAAATCAGGCAAGAGGACGCCCAGGAGTTTCTCACCTTTCTGACCGACCGCCTGCACGAGGAGCTCATTAAAGTCACATCTCAGCTTAGTCACAGCAGCACGAGGCTGGGAGGGGGAGCAGGAACAGGGGCAGGCGGAGGAGGGGTAGAGGGAGAGGGAGAAGGTGGGGAGGAAGGGGACCCAGAGGAGTGGCAGACGGTGGGGCCGAAGCAGCGGGCGGCAGTGACAAGGACCCACGCGGTGCAGTCATCCTGTCTGAGCGAGATATTTGGCGGGCAACTGCGGAGCGAAGTGCGGTCAGCAGGTGAGTCTGCATTGGGGGTTGTGTTTTCATCTGAGAAGTGAGGGGGGGATGGAGGCAGGCAGGCCGTAATGAGAAATACACGCAACAGAGAGGGGGGAGAGGAAGGGGACCCGGAGGAGTGGCAGACGGTGGGGCCGAAGCAGCGGGCGGCAGTGACGAGGACCCATGCGGTGCAGTCATCCTGTCTCAGCGAGATATTCGGTGGTCAGCTGAGGAGTGAAGTGCGGTCGGCAGGTGAGCCTGTGAGGATAGTGTGTATGTGCGTCTTTTGAGTCATCTCAAAAGTCGTCTCAAATGTTGTCTCGAAAGTCGTCTGTGAGGATAGTGTGTATGTGCGTGCGTCCCTTCCCTACTGCTGCAGGTGGACATGCAGCAAGTAAGTCACATCAAATCCCATTGTACATCATCCGATATCAACTTTCATCATGCTTGCCCCTCGCGCATTGAGGTGAATTTTTAAACACCTCAAAATCGAGGTGACTTTTTAGGTGCATTGAAAATCACCACATTGTGCAGAGATGACTTTTGAGTCGACTCAAAAGTCACCTCTCACCTCATTGTACAGCATCCGATATCAACTTTCATGATGCTTGCCCCTCCTCCACCCCATACACACTGCAGGCAGCAAGCCATCAGCCACGGTGCAGCCCTTCTCGCTGCTACAGCTGGACATAGCATCGGATCGGATCAGATCGGTGGAGGAGGCGCTCAAAGCCTTTGCTGCACCAGAGGTGGTGGAAGGGTATCGACCCAGCAATGCCAAGGTAGGTGCGAGGAGGGAATGCGTGTGTGTGTGAGGGAGAGGGGGTCTGTGTATGAGTGGGGGGAATGGGGTGTGTGTGTGTGTAGTGTAAGGGAGTGGATGTGTGTGTTTTTGAGGAAGGGTGGTCAGTCTTGATGCCTTCCAAGCGAGTGAAGGTCTCAGTAGTCTATACTCACTCCCTCACGTGTGATTCTCCTTCACATGAAGGAGAACCACATGAAGGAGAACCACATGAAGGAGAACCACATGAAGGAGAACCACATGAAGGAGAACCACATGAAGGAGAACCACATGAAGGAGAACCACATGAAGGAGAACCACATGAAGGAGAACCACATGAAGGAGAACCACATGAAGGAGAACCACATGAAGGAGAACCACATGAAGGAGAACCACATGAAGGAGAACCACATGAAGGAGAACCACATGAAGGAGAACCACATGAAGGAGTGCTGCTGCTCCTCCTGTGATTCTCCTTCACCCTCCCCTATTCCTTCTCCTTCCCCTTTTTGCACCTTCATCAACAGCCCAACCAGACAGTGCTGGCATCCAAGACGGTAAAGATCTCCGCCCTCCCCCACGTGCTGGTGCTGCACCTCATGCGATTCTCCTTCAGCCACTCCACTGCTGGCAGCGTCAAGATCCACAAGCCCGTCTCCTTCCCCCTCTCCCTCACTCTCTCACGCGACCTCCTCTTCTCCTCCTCTCCCTCCGCCGAGGTATGCTTTCTCTTCTTACTCTGTCCTGCCCTCCACGCCTTTATACTCTTCCTACCCCTGTCAAGATCCACAAGCCTGTCTCCTTCCCTCTCTCCCTCACTCTCTCACGGGACCTCCTCTTTTCCTCCTCTCCCTCCGTCGAGGTAAGCACACTCACCCTCTCTCTCTCGGGCATAATTTCGTCACCCTGCGTCACAATTTCTACCTAATCCATTCGCAAACTTCTCTTCCAGTCGTCTTGCCTCACATTCGATGCACTCTTTCCTTCACCAGCCCTCTCCCACCCTCTCCATTCACCCTTACCCTCTCATGCCTCTGTCTCCTCTGTTAGTATCTTACTGCTCCGTTGCTCTATCCTCAGATTTTATCTTTTATCGCATCAGATCTCCCACACGCTTTCTGCGTCAGATCTGCTTCTTGCTCCCTTGCTCCATTGGTTTCACAACGTGCCTGAAACTCGCTCCTTCCTCTTCTGAGTCGACTCAAAAGTCACCTCGTCAGATCTGCTTCTTGCTCCCTTGCTCCATTGGTTTCACAACGCGCCTGAAACTCGCTCCTTCCTCTTTTGAGTCGACTCAAAAGTCACCTCGTCAGATCTGCTTCTTGCTCCCTTGCTCCATTGGTTTCACAACGTGCCTGAAACTCGCTCCTTCCTCTTCTGAGTCGACTCAAAAGTCACCTCGTCAGATCTGCTTCTTGCTCCCTTGCTCCATTGGTTTCACAACGTTCCTGAAACTCGCTCCTTCCTCTTTTGAGTCGACTCAAAAGTCACCTCGTCAGATCTGCTTCTTGCTCCCTTGCTCCATTGGTTTCACAACGTGCCTGAAACTCGCTCCTTCCTCTTTTGAGTCGACTCAAAAGTCACCTCGTCAGATCTGCTTCTTGCTCCCTTGCTCCATTGGTTTCACAACGTGCCTGAAACTCGCTCCTTCCTCTTTTGAGTCGACTCAAAAGTCACCTCGTCAGATCTGCTTCTTGCTCCCTTGCTCCATTGGTTTCACAACGTGCCTGAAACTCGCTCCTTCCTCTTTTGAGTCGACTCAACAGTCACCTCGTCAGATCTGCTTCTTGCTCCCTTGCTCCATTGGTTTCACAACGTGCCTGAAACTCACTCCTTCCTCTCCATTATCCGTTCCCTTGCATTGCCAGGAACGATCTCCCTCTTTGCTACTGTAGTGCACCTGGGGGGAGGCCCTTCTTCGGGTTTTAAGGCGACTCAAAACTCTTTTACCTCCTTGCCCTTTCATTGCACCACCAGGAACAAAGATACTCCCTCTTTGCTACTGTAGTGCACCAGGGCAGAGACCCTTCTTCCTCAGGCCATTACACTGCCAATATTTGAGGCATCTCAAAAGTCGTCCCCTTCCCCTTCCCTATTGTATCACCAGGAACAAAGATACTCCCTCTTTGCCACTGTAGTGCACCAGGGCTGAGACCCTTCTTCCTTGGTTTCATACTTCACTTCAGACTTGCCCAAACCCATTTCTTAATCTTCCCTTTCCCCCCTCCTACCATATTTGATCACCAGGAACGGCGATACTCCCTTTTTGCCACTGTGGTGCACCAGGGAAGAGACCCTTCCTCCGGCCATTACACTGCCGATGTTCGCCAGCCGGACGGATCCTGGCTCAGATTCGACGACGCACGAGTTTTGTCTGTTTCTGCCAAGCGGGTGCTTCAGGAACAGGCGTATCTGCTGCTGTACCAGAGGGAAGGTGGAAGGCAGTGAGTGGAACGTTCCTTTGCCTAGGGAACTTTAGTGGCGTGGGGGTCTTGTAACAAATGGGCGTATCAGCGCTACACCTACGGTATTTGAAAAATGCCAATTCGATCATCTCTTAGCTTAACGCATTGGGTAGTATTTTGCACGACCAATTTGCTTGTCAGTACGGTACAAAGGAGAGCATCACCTTTTAGTGAGGGCAAGAATGGTGCCACTAAAGAAGGTTCTCTTCCCTAGTGCACTAAAGAATCAATGCCCACATTGGGCAACTAAAATGGGAGAGCATTGTTATGTAGACTGGAAACTAGGGCGACACGAGGGATGAAGGAATGGGACGTGATAGGTACTTGGTCGAAATGCTTTCACTGGCTGAATGCTAGGGGTTTGCGGCTGGGAGGGAAATGGATCAGCGGAAAGGGAAAGAGTTACTGGGCTGGGCAGGGGAGTGAGATGGTGCTGGGACTAAGAAATGCTCGAGTATGCTTTTGTTTTCCATTATGCTACGGTACCGTATTTGTGTTGCCTTAGTTCAAGCTTACAAAATACAAGCCAAGGAATTAGCCTCAGGTATAGTAGTGATGCTTCCAACCAGATTGCACCTTTCTGATCTTTGCATTGCACCCTACGTTCAACATTGAGTATGATGCTTTGATTCTCATGTTCCGATTCTCATCCCAACGGTGACTTTGATGCATTGGGACTGGTCATGCAAAATATGGCACAATGTCTCAAGCAAAGCAATACCGCATCTGAATTTGTCCCAGCACCAGCACCATCACCCTCCCCTCCCCCCACTACCCCGCTAACCCACTCCCGTGTACCGCCAACAGAACCCCCCTCTCCCCCCCCCGCCACTCCACTTACCTACACCCCACTCCACTCTGAACCGTTACCCCCTAGAATACAGCGACTAACTTGGGTTAAAAGCACCTCGACTGAGCATCTCGTCACTTTCCTTCATCCCTCACACTGCCGGCGCCTAATTGCCTTAGAATTTGCCTCCTTAGGAGTTGGTAATCGACGAGCACAGGGGCGTTCAAGGCGGCGTCTTTAATGTCTACTTACCCTCAGCCACGCGCAGCTCGAAGTTGAATTTCGACGGGTACTGCAGCGGCGCCTCGAATGCTCCTCGCACTGACGCGGCTACTTGCTCTCAACCATCGGATTCTTGAAGTTAACCTTCGACGTATAATCCGTCGAGGCTTTCCAGAGAGCAGGTATGACATTTTCCAGAATGACCGTCTCGAGCGTGTCTCCCGCAGTGAGGCGAACGCTTATCGGCTTCTTCACACCCACGACCGCCTTCGCCTTGCTGCCCTTGATTCCCCACACGCCGGCGTTGCTGCCGTCCCGCGTCAGATTCACCCACGTGTTGCCGTCCGCGCTTAGCTCCACCTGGTTAAGCGTGCCCGAAGCCGCAAGCCCCACAATCTGCATCGCGAAATTCCGAGTTTGCACAAAATGTACACGGTAGCTTTTCCTGCGGGAAACCTTCGGAAAAGCTTCGGAAAAGCTTCGAGGCGCACATTTACAGCTGAGTGGCCAAAGTGACATTGCAGCAACAACACTGAAGTGTCTCCAGCGCTACTTTGCAGTTACAATTGTGACTTCAATTTATCAAGTTCACCAGTGATCCCGGCCATATCCCACTTCCGTATCAAAACAATGTTATTACTCCATGTTTGGGGCCACACTTAGGGCCATCTTGTTATTCATGTCGCAATGCGTTCAAAGCCATCGGTCGATGAGTGCAAACCTATTGAGTAGCCTGACTCTAGGATTAGTAAAGGACTTGCACACGTGGACAATGCGCTCGATCGATGCAACTTCAATGATCCCGTGCGTGGCCTCCTTCCGCCCCGGCACCAGTTGGGGGCAAAGTGTCTGGGGACACACCCCCTCTTCCTCGCAATACTTCACGAATACATATGCACCTTCCTCCCCGCTGTAGTTCACCGCCCTGAAAATACAGAGACACCGCGCATACCACCACTCCTCCTCCTCCTCCTCCTCCCTCTCTCCCGGTATTGCAATGTCGGTGAACCAGTTCTCCTTCGGGCTTGCTTTCACGAACATCGCCTTCGGAACCAAGTACCCCCCTTTCGTGCTAGGGATGGCCACTGCGGTGTGCACCTGCTGGGTATGGGTGGGTTTGCATGAGGACCAACACATTGTACGATGACACCTCTTCACGTACGTGTCCAACACACAACGGCCCAACCTCTTTACAACCGAAGCAAATAGCTTGATTACCGAGTTACTAACATGACACTGCATCTCACCAACACACGTGAAGTCTGAAGGCCTTCCGCGGCCATGAGTGTCGCCATGTTGTCAAACTCGCTGCCGACCGTCTCCCTGTATAGCATCCGCAGTGGATCGTCTGCCATCATGAGACACATGGCCTTACTAGTGCGGGTCACCGCGGGCTTCATGCTGCGCACAGCCTAAGGGGTGGGTTGTGAGCACGCATGGGATGAACCGGTGGAGTCATTAAACCCTAAACACCTCGCATACCTGCGTGCCTTTAACAAATGCCACCAACACTACACGGCGACGCGTTGTGTACCTCTTGCAGGGCGGTGTAGTAAGTTCTCCCTCCTCCTGACAGCGCTGCAATCTCCCGAGTGATCTCGCGTTGCGTATCCTCCTCGACAATCCTCCTTGGTATGTCTTTCCAGTTGCTTCCGCGCACGGGGCCCTTCACGGTGCCCTTGTGGGTATGCTCCCACAGCTCCGTGGAATACTCGTGCGGCAAACCCCTCATGGATATGCCGTTGATGAGGTGTACAACTTCGTGGAGCTTCACGAAGTTCCACTTCGACTTCTGCCTCGGGAAAGCCGCCTGCAGTGCAGCCACCAGTCTACACGGAGTTGTATGCACATTGTAATGCGAACATTGAAAGAATCACCACAGTGTACAACATGGTCTATGGTAGCAACGAAACACGTGGCCATCATGTTCACTCACGAGATGCCATGCTGCCTCGCGATGGCGATTGTGAGCCGCGTGTGCTTTGTGGAAATGACAATAGGGAAAACCTGCATCATGCCACGATACTCGAACGCCGCGTACTTCGCCCCGCTGCGGAAAAAGGTGGAGCCACCCGGGATGCGCACCAAGACACTCCTTGTCTCGCCCTTCACGCCAAACTTGCGGCTGTTCCACGCACCAATCACACACAAGCAACGAGATTGGATTGTTCCCGCGGTGAGCTCCGCCACGTACGCACTACCGCATACAAAACAGTTCACGGAATCTCTGTGTACTCACTGATCAAACCCCCGAATCTCGGCCTTCGTCTTCCCCTCCATGAAACAGGTGGCCATATGCACCAGCACCCCGGAATCCAGCACATGCAATATGTCGCCAACAACCGCCAGGAAGACGTTACCCCACTTTGTCTCAGAGAAGTTCCAGCGCTCCAGGACGCTCTGCACGTTGGATGGTGCTGTCAGACTCATCATAAAAAGCAGCATCAAGCCGCTACAATCATGGCCGCGGCCATGTGACTTGCGACACACAAACATCGAACGCGCACCATGATCGGATGCGTAGACCACCTGGCCTGGATCGCTGCAGCGCCTTCCACCATCGTAGCGCTCAGTATCTTTGCCGCCGCGTGCCGCTCTCCCTTCACAGTGCGCACTATTGACTGGTTTGACAGGTCATGTAGGTGCGCCTTCTTGATGTAGCAGCTCGAGCACGGTCTGTGCGACGCCTGCTGCATCGTTGCTGTGGCCCGGCACCCTTCCGGATAGTCGCCAACAAATGCATAGAGGCATGGATATGCCTTGACCACACCTCCCTGGCCGTCTGACACATCGAATACTCGAAGAGGACCACTGCATGCACCACGTACATGTTTGATGGGTCTCAGAAACCGACAATGACCCCGTTCGCCTCCAACGGCCTAGAGCATGCATTCGGACCACTTACTCGCGGCTCTCACGCATGAGCGGACCCATCACGATGCGATACGCCTCCTGATACACCCGCGTCTTCTCCGTCGCCGATGCCCACTCCGGCGGAAAAGGGAGCACACCCATTAGCGCGTGCCCAGACTCCGCCACCGTAACTCCTCCGGGACATTGACCAAACCCATCAACATTGGCCATGCCTGTAGGCGTCCGTTCCCCGACGCGTAAGTGCTGTCACTGTACGAGATGACACCCAGCACCATAGAATCCTCCTCCGGCAGTTCCGCCTGACAACGACACAAGGCGACCAAAAGAGTCAGACCAACTCACATCAGAGCCCCATGTGACGCTTGGGAACATTTACCTCTACTTGTCTGCGCCTCTTCTAGCCAAGTCCCTGTGTCGGGGGTACTGAAATGTCTTGTGTCCGCCGTATCTTCCGGATCTCGCCGCGGCCGTTTGAAAAATCCCCTCACATTCACGAATGTCTTCACCATCTTCTGCGCAATCTGTCCACAAGGAGGCGCGGGAAGCCTGTGTATAGACGGTGCATAAACAGACATACACTCGCCGACTCCGTGCAGCACCAACCATTAATCGCTCACCAGCTTGGTGTCCTTGTACAGCAGTTCCAGCATTTGAGACCTTCCTCCGGGGCCCCGCACCTCAATCTCTGCCTTGAGCCACGGCATCATGTCGTCCGGCACGTGTTCCTCCCCAAACCGCCTCACGTCGGCGACGTTCTGCCAGCGCCGAACCGCTGCAGGATCGTATCCCGGGTGGTTGAATATGTGCAACACTCTATTTATTTCTCTGTCCGACAAATCAGCGTCCTTGAAGAACAGGTACAGCTCGTTCAGGGTGTTGAACAGGTCGCCAACTGTGGATACAGATCCATCGTCCGACGTCGACACGTACCCGCGCACAAAATCCGCGTGCTCGGGAAACTCTCTCAAATATCTGAACAACGAGTCGGCGGAGTGGGGGCTGCTCGGGACTGACTCACTGTCCGAATGATGCGGGCTATTTCTCACCTCGGCCAAAGCCTCCGCCAACGCCTCCACCGCCCTACTCTCGAGCCTCTC